CCTTTGTTGGTATTTGGTATTGTAGTAACGATGTGATTGTGTGACGGCATTGATGTTACTGAATTGATGTTACTGAATTGATGTTACTGAATTGATGTTACTGAATTGATGTTACTGAATTGATGTTACTGAATTGATGTTACTGAATTGATGTGGCGGTGCTGATGGTCTACCTACTTCGCATCAGTTTCATGCTTCCCATAATGATGAAACCACCTTTTCATGTTTGCTCTGTTTGTGCTTTTCTACAAGTGTAAAAATGAGTCAAAAGTTTCAACTAAAAGTGTTCAAGTATTATTTCAAATATTCACTGCTGCATTCAACAACTTATTGATCATATAGAAAAATTAGTTGATCGTTTTTCTTCATATCTTCCTCATCAAACCACATTTCAACATCAACATTGTCATTATTTCAATTTCGAAATTTTTCCTTCGAAATTTCAATCGCTTGTTAATTGTTTGTTTCTTTATTTTCATTCATTCTTTCCATTGACTGTTCATCATTGATTTGCAGATGTTTTGAGGGATGGTTCAGTTGTTTTACTACGAATCACGTGGTCAGCCGGTGAGGAAGCTGCTGCGGAGGGAGGGCTACAAGAAGAAGGTGGGTGGCAGGGGGTGGGTGGCTGGATGGGTGGGTGAGTGAATGGGTGAGTTGGGAAGTAATTTGTGGTTGAATGGATAGATCCAAATTACCCTATTATCATTTATCACTCCACACATCCATACATCACCTCACACATCAACTAATCCTCCACACACCCATCCTCACACTTCCACCACCTTCCTCACTCCATCCCCACAGATATTGTTGTTCCCCTACGAAGGGTGGGCCCAACCCGCCAGTGCCACCTACTGGATCCTCAAAACGAACTGGTGGTGCAGGACTCAGTGCAAGATCACGCAGGTTATTTCAATTCTTCTGTAATTAATTTGTTCATTTTTGCGTTGTAATTTAACTTCGGTGATTTTATTCTGAAAATTATTTTCTTTTTGCTGTTGTTGTTGTTGTTGTTTATTTTATGCAATTAGTTTATCGCATGATAATTTGGCTAGTTTCAATTTATACATTTATAAACATATTTATAAATTATAAATATTTATATATATTCTAACTTATACTTCACGCATTCAATCTACTACTAAAATGGATCAATTTTGAAAATTAGCTACAATGTGCACACATTTTATTTTCTATGCGAAAAGAACCCTTTGATGAAAATTATTTAAAATTGTAAATTTTATATTATTGGTAACTTTATCGATAATTAATTTTGGGTTATCTCATGTTAAAAACTTCTATTACGTAGTCGTTTTTAAACTGGAAGTTTTTTTTGAATTCAGCTGTTCAATTTTTTCTGTGAAGAAATAGAAATGGTCATAACAAGAGTTTGTAATAAAATTCAGTTCTTCATCAAACGATACATGCCCGCTGTAATGGCACTATATTTCAAATTATTTCATTGAAATAAAAGCATTTTCAAATCATTCAAAATAATTTTTTTCAGGTTTCGTTTTTATTTTGTATCTAAATTTTGGAAATTTAGTTTTTAATTTGAAAAAAAAATACTATCAAAACATTTATGCTCAATTCCTTATTTTCGTCGCGACATAAATCTTTGAATCCCAATACATCTGCACACATACTCACACAAATACCACACACACACACACACACACACACACACACACACACACACACACACACACACACACATACTCACGTATACACACACAAACAACACACATACTCACACATCTCAGGCTCCTTCATATACATGCAAGTGTATCATTGTATATATGTGTACTACATATATGAACAAGTGCAAAAAAAAGAAGTCTGTAGTACAAAAGTAGACAACAACATTATAAGTCTATGGATACGAGGAGGTATCATAAAAATGCAGTAAGTATCACTTGTTTCATAGATCATCATAAATTACAACATTAAAGTAGGAAATCTCTGAATAAATGAATGCACATAAACATCGCGGATCCCAAACTGCCCGCAATAAAACACAAAACAACATCACATAAAACAATGCAAACAAGCACCAAACAATACAAACACTGAACAATGCGAACACCAAACAATAGAAAAAATACAAACAACAAACAATACAAACAACAAAAAATACAAACAACAAACAATACAAAAACTAATCCAACGACAAACAATACAAACACAAAAACAATACAAACATAAAATCAACCGGCGCAAAACATTACAAACAACTTCCCATACAAAGCATCGTTATCGCCTGTATGCAAACATCTGAATTAGCATTCACGATTCGATTAACAACATGTTGAAATAAATTAACCAAATATAGACTGAGAAAAAACTTCAAATGGAAAAAAGTAAAAAATAAATTGGAGCAACTGGAGTTTCGTATGCAGATGAGATGTGGAAGATCGTGCATGAAAAAGGCAAAGCGGTAGCACCAGATGTGTGAATTTCATCGCATCCGCCTGATTTATCGCCAGATCCAAATAGAACAAATTCAGTTAGAAAGCAAATAAATAAAGAGGGAAGATTAGGAGAGATAATGGGAGTGGGGAGAGTGAAATGAAGTGAAGAGTCGATGCAAACAAAGGAAAAGAATCAATTTAATTTAAAAAATGAATCTTCGTCCGGTGAAACAATTGAAAACTGGCAGATGAATCGAAGGAAGGCATTTGACAAACTTTGAAGGTAAAAATGGAACTGCAACAAATAGCTTAACAATCGCTGACACAAATATTCTAACAAATTTTCCAATATAACCCATGCTAGAGACGTCGCGAATGTTCAGCCCATACTTGAAATTTTACGTCGGTCTCGATCATTTTAATGGCGAATTGGCAGCTACTGTCGCAAATTTTCGTTTAAGGTATCTGATTTTTTAGATTACTGAATAATAATTGTTGATTATTATTAACGGAAAATTTATTTTGTCTATCATTGCTGTTGAAAAATCTGACTTTGAACAAGAGGTTGATAATATTCTTGATAAAGATATGATGGGTAGACATGATTCGGCTACTCTTTTTCATCATAAGTTTGTTTTTCATTTTCAAAAGTGAATTTATTTAAAAATTGTTATTCAGCCTTAAGCTTCGGCTGAATGTTGTTGGTTGAACTAGTAAGTCGTTGGCCAAATTCACTAATCGGTGCATCTTCAACATATACACAACAACAAGCCACTGTACGTTTTGAAATAGTACAGTCATATCAACGTTACTGATATCCTGGTACATACTTCAAAAATATGAAAACTTTAAATCTATTCTTATTAAAGCCAATTAATGCAATTTAAATGAAACATCTCAGGATTTTATGGAAACCACCACTTTAAAAACTTATCGAGAACCAGAAAGACGAACGGTGCACCTTCAAAATTAACACTTTTATTATTATTATTTTCGGAAATATTGGTGTTCACCAAACAGATCGATCAAAATGATGCAAAAGTTTCGCAGTGATAAGAAATCAAATTTTCAAATCCAAAAAATTTCATGCCTGTATAAAACTCCCCCGAATAAATTCACACGCCAAAGAACATCGTGAAAGTAAACAAAAATGAATTTGTGCATAGAGCGGCGTTCGAACTGAAAAAACATAGAAGTAGATAGTCGTACACTTACGTGCAAACAATCGCGTGCAAAAACTGTCAAGCAATAAATTTGTGGTTGCATCTAAATGTATGTATGTGTGAGTTATGTTTGTGTGTGTGTGTGTATGTGTGTGGTAAGATGTGTTATGTGTGTGTGTGGTGTGTTTGTGTGTGAAGGTATATAAGAACATTAGGATGCATAGAGAAGCAGAGAAGGAAAGGTGGATCTGGCGAAATCAGAGAAGCTAAATAGTAGGAGTGACGCGAAAGTAAATTGATTTGTCCCTCATGAAGTGATTGATGGTTTGTTAGGAGTGGCTCTTCATTAATCCAATTTCATTTCTTCATTTTGATACACACGTTTGTCCATCTATCCATCGTCCGTCCATCCATCCATCTAACCATCGATCCATCCATCCATCTAACCATCCATCCAACCATCCATGCATGCATGCATGCATCCATCCATGCATGCATGCATCCATCCATCCATCCTTCCATTCGTTCATTCACCTACCTATTTATTTTTTCTATATTAGACTTCTCCATGTACGTAGATCGGCGGAAGATTTATAGTTCGCTTCCCTCCAGTGTGTTTGCACGTCTTCAAATATCCATGCTCCATTCTTTTGTTATCTTTGTTTGCTTTTAATGATTTGCTATATCCGTTTCGATGCTGCTCGAAGATAATTCTACATTAATTCAATCCTTAAATACCTTCAAATCCATTTGGTTATATATTATGAAATTAATAACAATGGCACTCCCGATAAATCACACCAGCCTAATGTGCTTACCTCCATCATATGCACTGAACATGCACATTATCTATTGCATAACTTGCCCATTCATCTAAATATCCAGCAGTTGTTGTTGAATATAGACATGTATTATATGTTTGTTTGTTTGTTTGTTTGTTTGTATGTATGCATGCATGTATGTATGTGTGTGTATGTATGTATGTATGTATATGTATGTATGTTTGTGTATTTATGTATGCATGCATGTATGTGTGTATGTATGTATGTATGTATGTATGTATGTATGTATGTATGTATGTATGTATGTATGTATGTATGTATGTATGTATGTATGTATGTATGTATGTATGTATGTATACTACACACTCATATATGTATAGATTCCCATCTTATTCTTATTGGTTGCTTTTCTGCGCGCCTTGTTTCATACCGGCATTAATTATATTGACATTTCGGGGAGCAGAGGAAATGCTGTGTTTGTCTACATGTATGCCTGTGTGTATGTGTGCGTATGTATGTTTGTTTGTTTGTGTGTGTGTCTGTAAGTGTATGTGTATTTGTGCCTGTGTGTGAGTATGTGTGTTAATGTGCTTGTTTGTGTATCTTCGTTTTGTGAGAGTGTGTGTGTTTGTGTGCAAGGCTGTATGCATGTTTTTGTGTTTGTTTATTTAATAAATGCCTTCACGAAAGTAGTGTGAGTTAGTATACATTAATGTCTTTGTATCCATGCTATTTGTTTGCGCGCGCGAATATCTGTTCGTATGTAGCATTTGATTCCTTGCGTTTGCGTATGTTCTGGCACCTCAGTCGCTTGCTATGGCGCTTTGTAAATGATATTATTATTATTATTGTTATTATAATTATTAATATTGTTCATGGTGGTTATATTTCTCTGTTAAACATTCGACATCCTTCAGTCCATGCATTACGTAATATGTGAGTGGGTACGAGGGATTGGCAGATAACTTTTTAGCATGAGTTGCTCGTAACATGGATGGGATGTGTTTTAGTTGTGTGGCACAGGTTCAATATTTTTTTAATGAAAAGCTTTTTTTTCAGTTATTGGTTTGATGATGTTTTTTTATTCGAGCTGGAAAATCTCACCCAGATGACAAATTTCGTAGTTTTAAAATTTTAATAAATGGCTGTGGAGTGTCGTGAAATGTAGTTTTAGCATGCAGAAGCAGCTTCACAATGTTGGGATGGCCTGGGATTAGATATAAAAATTTTTTTTAGATATTTGATCGAATATTCGCTGTTGGGATATGGGATAATGTGAGTTGACTGTTGAAAGTTATTTCGAGTATGAAGAAATTCTTCAAGTCAGAGAAAATTAAAAAAAGGACGCAACCTACCTATGAAGAACCTATTAAAATTTTAGCACAATAATTTAAACAATGATTCATGTTAACAATGTAAGTTGTGAAAACCGGTTTATACTAATCATTCTCGTTATGACCAAGACACATCCCATGACAGACTGTCTACATGTTACCTGGCTGGTCGAACAAGTCTGATGCATGTCACCATGCAGTATATGTGTATAATAATTATATACTTAATACAGTGCACACACACACACACACACACACACACACACACACACACACACACACACACACATATATATATATATATAATTTAATTTAATTTACCGTAATATTACATAATGATTTTGTCTTTAAAGTTGAGTACAACTATCTAATCTACCAACATGGCCATTATATCAAAACGTCCATACACCCCCCACCTTGCACGTTGCAGGCAGTTGATGGAAATCATGTTCGGTTTAATAAAGTCAGACGATAATATTGAGTTAAAGTTGTGCCTACCTTGGATTTAAATTAACTTGCAGTGAGATTGTATGTTGATATGAAGCTGGTAACTTCTGCACGCGATCCTGCATTTGATTATCCATCCATCTATCCATTCATTTATCTGTTTATCCACCTATCTACCCATCTATTCATCCAACTAACCATCCATCCATTCATCCATGCATGCATGCATGCATCCATCCATGCATGCATGCATGCATCCATCCATCCATCCATGCATCCATCCATCCACCCATGCATCCATCCATACATCCATCCATGCATCCATCCATCCTTCCATCCATCCATCCATTCATCCATCCATCCATCGGCAATTTGGAGCGTAACAAGAATTTGGAGTGGGAGTTATTTTTTGAGCGTATTGCTTGATTGTTCAGCAGCTGGAGGCGTTCAACATTACATTTCATTCCTTCATCATCTTCGCAGTCTTCCATCTGATGTTGCAACATGCTCTTCAATAATTCTTTTTCATTCCCAAATTTACATTCCATCAAGCCTTTTTGAACTTTTTGACGATTCACATCTCTAAGGCAGAATGGAATCTAGTTCTCTATAAAAATGATTTTGGTCAATCCTTCCACCACCGATCGATGTTTCAACTGGACTTTCATTCAATGAAAATTTCTTGCAACAAATAAGTTAAAAACATGATGTTTGAGTAGTTGCATTTAACATTTCTCTAAAAGTTCAATTTATTGGGATTGACAAGATAGGAATTTAAGTAAACAAGGCTCGATGCGTTTAACATCAATGAAAACAACACACAACAAATTGACAACATTTAATCAATATTCACGTAGAAACCCAGGCACCAAACATCCCTCCACTAACATTATACAGGGGACAACTAACTTATAAAACGAACGACCGAATGACCAGCTGACTCGATAGAGTGCAACACAACGAAATAATGCAGTGGTGTGCTTGGAAGGAAAGCATTGCGAGATATCGACGTCGCTTAATACGATTTGTTCAAGTATGAAATGAAGTCTTAATGGAGATTAGGACGTAATTGGAAATGCTGCAATCTGTCTGTTTGTTTGTCTGTTTGTTTGTTTGTTCGTCTGTTTGCTAGTTTGTTCGTTTGTTTTTTTGTCTGTTTGTTTGTCTCTTTGTTTGTCTGATTGCTTCAGTTTCATTGTTTCGTCCGTTGTACTTTTGGAGTATAGGATTGACTATTTCTCACTCACTCACATTTCTCTCCTACTTTTCAGTCACCAAACGAGTTCACCTTTCACAAAACACCT